GGAAAACTTCATAAAAACGCAAACTCGATGGGTCAACACGAGAGGCCGCGGTACGGCCATGTGATATTGCTCAGCCGATACCCTGTTTTGAGAGCTGTCACCTGACAAAAATATGGATGTCCAATATCAGGTTACAGACTCCCATATTGGTTTCCCTATAGTGCAGACGAACGGAAGGACGATTACGTGACCAAATTTTCCCGGATAGATAGAAATGCGCGCGTCGAGCTCCGCTATTAAAACAGCCTTTCTTACTGTTTTTACAAATGTACAACTTCGATAAAATACCTTTTTATCTTCACATTTTTCTTTCAGAAGGATGGCTCCTCGTTTCCAACATCACGATGGAAAGCTCAACTCCTCCTTCTCAGCTGTCAGTCAAGACTTCATACCGTAGAATAACCAGTGATCAGATGGTTCTCACAAAAACCGCCATGAATGAGCTGAGAACACACTTGTCTTTCACCCCACTGAGATTCCACTGCAGTAAAAACAATGGACGAACGTTCCACGTGACCACTGCTGCTAACAGCACTGGTGAAGCTGTAGTCCAGTACTTCAGCGGTCAGACGGATGTCCAGCCCGCCTCGTGTGGCTCATACGTCAGAATGGAAAATGACAACTTAGGGTCAGCAGGTGTTTGCCAAAGGTGGGGATTGGAAAGTGGCTCAAATGCCCGGCTCAAATGAGGTAGCTAAATGGGGCCATGGATTTGATCAAGAGAGATTATACGACCACCCTGCTTGGGTTTATGGTTTATATCATTGGACGCTTGATCATCGTAGTTATGGTCAAGCAAAAAGATGGGAACGCGACGATTATCTTGTTGGCGTGACCACTGGTGATTTCTGGAAGATTTGCGTTCGCTAAAATGTTTGTGTGTTGACGTCTGTTTTATTGTTAGTCTTATTGGCTGTAGTCTTTTAAAAAGTACTAGTAGTAAAATGACAGCTTGGTACAAATAGCCCATTGCTAACGTAGATGAAAATACCTTGATTTCGAGCCATTTATAAAATATAAAAATATATATATAACTGTTATAAGAGATTTTCCTTATATTCGTCATTTAAAGTAAGCTTTACATCAGTTTTCGTATATTGCATTTAGTTTTCAAGTATTAGCTTTGAATAAAGCCACAAAAAGCTCATGCCATTTGATCATTGTGCCGTCTGCTTTCAACTGTGTTGCATGCACCAAAGTCACTAAATATCAAATTATCCTAGAAACGCCAACTATAGAGCTTATTTATGCATAAGCAAGCCAACTGAGGCCCAGTTAAGCAGTCTAAGCCCCGGGGGATACTTCCTGCAATGGCCTATACGGGAGGCACTGCTAGAAAGGGGTACCTTTGTCAGGTGTCAGGTATAAGATATGGTGGGGATTTTACTTGAAGTACAAGAAAGGACAGGGAAATCTGTCTGTAAAAAGACCTAAAGTTGCTGGAAGAATTTATGGCTGTGTCAAGAACATTTCCTGGTTTTGTGATTCATTTATATTTTAAAGGCAGTGTATTTTTAACAGTTAAAAGGGATACAAGGTTCTAAATTAGGTATGAGAAAGTCAGAAAGGGATCCTTTTTTTAATGAAAGATATACGGATATATTAAAGCTGAAGTGTTGAGTGATCAATTTGCTACAGTTTTCACAGATGAACTGAATCTACTGATTTAACATCCCAAGTAAGGGCCCTAGTATGATCGCAGACATCCCCTCTCTTAAGTTTGAAGTTTCTGGCATAACACGCTTGTTAAGAAACATTAACGCCAAAAAGGCCTGTGGTCCTGACAATATTTCTCTCGCTGGGTTCTGAAAGAAGCTGCGCCTGTCATTGCCTCATTTCTCCAGTATATTTTTACTCTATCAATACAAAACAGATCAAGTCCCAAGTGACTGGGTCACTGCAAGTGTCACCCCAGTTTTCAAAAAAGGAATCGCAAAAAGCCAAGTAATTACAGACCGATTTCTCTAACATCTGTGTCTTGTAAGATTATAGAACATATTATATACCGGCATATCATGAATCACCTTGATTCAAATGCTATTCTGGTACATTATCAACCTGGCTTCAGACAATGGCACTCTTATGAAATGCAACTCATCACAATTATTGAATCAGTAGCAGGTAACCTTGACCTTGGTCAATAAAATGATTTGTTGTTACTCGACTTTTCAAAGGCATTCGACACGGTGCCCCATCGCCCATTGTTGAATAAATTAAATTTCTACGGAATTCGTGGAAATCTCAAGACCTGGTTTGGAACAATGGCTAACCACCTGATATTCAATATTCCCGTGAGATCAGGTATGCCCCAGGGGACTGTGTTGGGCCCACTCATGTTCCAGACCTATTGTACATAAACGATATTGGCGAAAACACAAAAGTCCAAATTGGCCTTTTCGCGGACGACGCGGTATTTTACTTTCGTGTAATCAAGGATTGTAATGATGCAGAGTCACTACAGCAAGACCTAAACACACTTGTACACTGAGCGAACACATGGCAGCTCTCGTTTAATGCAACGAAATGCGCCATCCTAAGGGTCTCGTGCTCAAAAACTAACTCTAGTTAAATACCAATACACCATCCACGGAGAACCCTTGGAAGCTTTTGATCACTATAAATACCTTGGAGTTGAGCTATCCAGTGATTTAAACTGGAATTTTCATATTGCTGGAATTATAGACAAAGCCAACAGATCTCTTGGCTTTATAAGAAGAAGCCTAAATAAGTGCCCAGAAAACGTAAAAGAGCAAGCCTATCTTGCTTTAGTTAGACCACAGCTTGAATATGGATGTTTCGCATAGGACCCGCACACTCAAAAGCAGATAAAGGACACTGAGACTGTGCAGAGACGAGCAAAACAAACAAATATAGCAACACAGTTTTATTGTACGTGCAATCAGAGACTGGAAATCTTTACCAAGTTGTCTCGCAGTCAGTGGAGGCTTTCAAAACGGCCGTCATGAGCCATCTTTAAAAACGCTAACCCGGAACTCTTTATTATTACTATCTTTATTCACTTGACATTCGTACCTTGATTATATCTTAACATAAGCACCTGTACAATTACACATCCGCCGTGATGGGAAATCCCTTTGCAGATAACACGATAAGTAATGGTAACAGGACTGAGTGGAGTCCAATTCGGTCTGTAATCATACGAGTGATTAACAAAATCGGACGACCGCGTAGCGGGAGTCCGATTTGTTTAATCACGAGTATGATTACAGACCGAATTG